TACTCTATTTTCACCTTAAATTCAATTTTGGTACTTATACTCATTGACTGTTTCCCAAGGACTATTATCTGTTTACTTAAATTATATAATAATTTCGCATTAGAGAATACATTACATTAATCACCCTCCATAATATAGCTGGATAATCAAGAGACGTCTAATGTAACAATAGATCGTTTTTGAATGCATGAAAGAGGTCGGAATTCCCTAGGGCTTCAAGAAACCTAATTACATTTCTTGAACCATTTTTGCAAGTTAGTTGAGAAGATGCATACAAATCAACCTTGTGACCCGTTCCAATGGTAAGTGTAGGTTTAGACAACTATTGAGCAGGTCATTGGGATCAACTGATTACATTTGTTGTTGCAGCCATTTCGGAATTTGATCTGTGACCTGTACTTGCATAGATCGACGGATCCTCCAGTCAGGAAGATGCATGACGAGTAAGTGCCGGGACAGATCGTTAGAAATGTATTGTATTTTCCAAGGTACTCAATTACTCGCTACAAATTAATTCACTTCAGTGTGCACAACACTATACAGGCTAGAAATATGTTTCAAGAGTGAAGAATACTGAAGTCAATTAGTCGTCCTTATTTATATGTTTCAGCATATTTCAGCTGAAACATGCGAAAAAATCCGACTGTTAGACTATGGCTGAATGGGTTTAGGAAAGAATAAATCCTCCAGAAGTGTGAATTATTGACAGGCTATATGAGTCCATAGAGTTATCAGCCACAGTATGCCATAAGCTTCTTAACAGACAAAAAAGAGGTTATTTATAAATAAAAAACAGTTCTTTCTCACTATTAAGAAATAAAACACTACGAAGAAAACAGTAAAAGAACATAAACACAACAGAATAGTTACCGATCGAAGCAAGGAAGCTGTAAATATTAGGTTTTACAAACGTACAAAGCTTGCTGATTAGATTTTAGTCAACACAAACATCTTTCTGGTAGGTGAACCAACAACACCGATCGTTAGTCTTACTGAAAAACTATGATCTCTCAGTGCTAAAGAAATATCAGATAGTCATTTGATTATTTAAACTTGCCTGGGTGAATACTATTTGGAAGTCAAAAGGAACGATTATTTAGTCAGGAAAACTTTTATAACTTTACTAAATTAATACAAGGTGAACTAAGGGTACTGAACTTGTAGGTGCGTAGATAAACACTGAGGAAATGCAAATGGTATGAATAATTACATAATGAAATGGGTCCTAATATACAGTAGTATTAGCTGACGATAGACAAACACATTTATGGAGTTAAGAATGCGTTATACGTCGAATAATGTAGATGAATCGAGTTATAAATAGACATCGCAAACAAAATTGTATAAACTTGAATACTTGTTTACAAGACGACTTAACTATACACATTTATTGCATTACAAGTATTATTGAGTACAGATCCGTTTTTGTGCTGAAATGCCTATTACGTAACACCAATTATTACATATCATTTCATTTTCTGAGAACGGATTACTGACAGTTTCATGGAAACTTCTTATCAAATGTTGCATAACTCAGATATGCTTCCGATTTCGCCGTAAACTCCGCTGATTGGATTACACAAACCGGATAACTGTTCCATATTAAATTCTATCACTGTGCCCAAGTTTTACACCTATATTCAACCGAATTACTGTTCATTCAACAGGATATATAACACGAAGTCATATTGATCAGTAAGCAGATTTCTTATTTTAAAACACATCATGGGTGCCAATAAATATTGTAACTCTTATCTACTTGGTACACGTTTATGTACAAGTGTGGAAGCCAAACTAAATATTTTAGGGCTTATGATACTACTAAGTTACCCAAATTGAAGTAGATGGGGCGGGACTCGAACACAGGACCATGATCTTGAAGTCTGAGTACTAAATTCAGCGAGTTACAACTTCAATCACTGAGCAAATGACGCCAAAGACCGACGAGGTGAACGATGAATAGGCATGCATAGCATATCCCAGCCACCTCAGTCGATGACGGCTAACAACCCCATGAACCTAAGTTCCTCTTCTACCGAAAACTGCGTCTGACGTCGACATAACGACACAAGGTCTAAACTTAGAAGGCAACGGTGGTTGAACATGTGAAGTCATCTCACGTCCCCTTCTTCTATTGCCTGTTTCACAGTCATATAGTAGAACTAAGCGAACTGAAGAGCAGCACATTCGGTCCTCAATGAGACTGAATATCATGGCAGTGCCATAAATGGCATAGGATTACAAAAGTCAGGCGAGATTTTGTCCGTCTCTGACTCACCAGGATGGATCCAACTTCCCAAATAAGTGAAGCGGTCAACACGTTCTACCAGATTGCAACTACTAGTGAGATATGCAGATATGATTTTTCAGCACTCATGTGTAATAATAGTAATCAGTCTTCACTACTGCTACATACATGGACTAATCGTATTTGAAATAGAATTTAAAAAATTCAAACAAATATGCCTTGTATTCAATTTCATACCTTAGTTAACTACCGATTACCCTTTATTCTTTTCAAAACTCCTGAGTCAGCTGTGATGTTTTGGTCGAAGTTAATGAGAAACGATTGACGGACAGAAATTAATTGTTTCCAAATACTGTGACTTATTGCTTTAGACAAAGGGTTGCAGGTTCATACTCCGCCATACTTACCGAGATATGCGCAGCTAGGTAGCCCCGATAGAATATATGTGGATCAGTATCAACTGCAAGAGTGTGCCCATGGTTGCTGAGTGGATTCCGATCTTTTCCAGCTTTCGAAAGAGAAATGACTTAAAATTTTGTTATACTGCGAAATAAAACCTTAATTATGACATTTTCTTTTAAATATTGAAGAGAACAGTAGTCTGATATGAGGTAATTCAACTAGCAAGATATTTTACACAAAATGCTAGGCGCTGTCTCCTAGTAGTCTACATGAATTAGTCATTCGTTAGGGTGAATAAAGTAAATAAGTATGATAACTTGCCGGTGAATTCAATAATATGTAATAGACTAACTATGGGTCTGTGATACTACACTTCAACTTTTTCATACCTTCTCTATAAAAGTTCTTGACTTCGATAGAGAATCCAAAAATACGAGGACATACATGGAAGTATTTTCCAAGACATTTTTCAAGTGGAACTGTACTTTTTATGCGATAAGTGTTCAAGAACACTTATCCTATTACATCCCCAGCTATCCGAATCACTTTGTTTATACAATGCGACAACTCTTGGAACAAAATATCAGGAAATAGGAAGAATAATCGGTCTGTTAAGATTTCAAACCTAAAACTGTGGGATTAGTAAATGCCATAATACACAACTGGAGATCGTACGAGGAGGAAATGAGAGCTTCTGGGCTGTCGTGGAGCGAGGTTCAAAAGATTTCAGAGGACAGGACGCATTGGAGACGTGCTACTGAAGACCCTATGTTCCATTAGGAACCCAAGGGACTAATAATAATAATAATACACAATTCCTCAAAATCAGCAAACTTCCCCTGAATACAAAGTGCTAGTTCATATGTTTTGGTGGAATGATCTAGGTGATAAGATATGAGAAGGATTATTTCAAAAAAGGCAGCACTTTGTTCAAATGTCAATCTTTCTTCATGACTTACATTCAACGGTTAAATTATTACATTTCACGGCGTCTGTACAACTATCTATAAAATGTTTACCGTTAACTAATGGAACCCAACGACTAAAAAACCTTTTGGAACATAACTTTCCGTCATATTACACCACAGTTTCCGGCTACCTGGTGATTACAATCATTAAACTCCATGTTATAACACTTTTTAAACTATATTCAACTCAGAAATAACAACAATAATTTATCAAGTATAGAGACTCAGTATATAAAAATTCAATAGGATCCTAACACAACATAAGAACAGTATTAAGAAACAAAACTGAAAATACCGACAATATCAAGGCTTCCGCAAACGCAAGAACCCATATGCCAATACTGGCCGACCAATTTGACTCAATCAACGACACAGATTCATAGAGAAAATCAAACTATACCCATTGCAAACAGTGGCTGGTGTGATTCAGTGGATAACGTTCTGACATCTGAAGTGATTAGTCCTTAGTTTAAAGCCCAGTAGGAATTACAGAACATCTTGGATTCCAGTAGTAACCACTATGCATCACTAATATCGAAACTGAGAATACCGAAAATACCGAGGCATCTACACAAGAACCAATCGTAGCTGATCAAGTTGATCCAATCAATGATGGAGATTTACAAGTCATATAATCAATATAAGACCATTGTTTCCAAAAAGAAGATATCTTATCTAAGTAGGAAGTAATTGAAGGTATCCTGACTAACAATGGACTGGATGGTTTGAAAAACTTGGGTACCAAGTTAGTATGATTCACTATATAGGATGTATTTTTACTTATGTAATCCCGGCGTAGTATATTAGAACAAATAACAAAATATATATAGGAAGTAATTTTCGAGGAAACAGATAAAATGGAGAGTGTGTGTGTGTAATGATAAGATCTTCCTTCAAAAAACTTCAGTTTTAAAACAAACAAAAAAATTAACTGAGATCATTTTATCAGCAAATATACCATTGAAACCACATAAAAAAAAGTACAGAAACATTATTAGATCAAATAAGTCGAAATAAAAAAGAAAAACGTTGAAAAAAATATACACAAATATTACAAAAAAAAGTAATTCACATATACATATTAAAAGATTCAGTGAAAATAATCAGATCGAAGAGGTTGAAAAAGAGGTATATACCCGCATACATATCATAGGCGTAACAAGTTTTATGGAAGACGATGATGAACGAATTGAGAAGACAAAAGCTTATATGTAGTAGCCGCCCATTTCCCAAATATTCTTGTTAATACAACAGAAATCAATTAAACTGTTGAAAATAAAGAGGATTTTTTTTAAAAATGGTCATATTTCAATATTTCTGTATAAAGCATATGTTCTAGCCTCAAGTAAATCCAATTCACAAGTGATTGGAATATATCCCACTCAGTGTACCAATCTGTCTATTTTTTCCTCCTAAAAATAAATAACACATATGAAAAAAAAACTTTTAAAGTATGCGAAATAGGCATGATTAGCTGGACAATCAATATAATAAGGACTTATAAACTTTAAAATGATTGATTCCGTTTACAAACTTCGACAAAACACCTTTATTTCCCTTGGGTTCCTAATGGAATATAGGGCTTCAGTAGCACATCTCCATTCCACTCTGTTATCTGCAGTCTTTTGAACCTCGCTCCAACACTGACCACAAGCTTTCATTTCTTCCTCACATGATCTCCTCTATGTCACCCTCACCTCCGACGCCCAACTCATCGTTTCCCTTTAGGATTCCACTCGAGGGCCTGGTGCGTGATGTCCTCAGTCGGTCTTTTCAGTGTATGCCCAATCAATTTCCACTTTCTTCTGCATATTTGTTGGGTGATAGGTTCTTGGTTGGTTCGTTCTCAGAGTTCTATATTGCTTATTCTTTCTCGCCTTCTCATCTCATCTTCAGTATCGAGTGAGCGTAGGCGGCAGCTGTTGATGAATGTCTGTAGTTTGTTGGAAGTGCTTTTCGTGACGCACCAAGTGTTGTAGATCTCCAAGCTGATTTCAAACTATTGAAAGCTTGTCTTGCTTTTCTCATCCTGGTTTTGATATCCTTGTCTGTGCCACCTGTAGTTGAGACGATGCTCCCTAGGTAGGTGAAAGAGACAACTTCCTTTAGGTTTCTCTCGTTGATGGTGATTGGTGCTTGTTGTTGATATTGGTGTTGGTTGATTATTTTCATTACCTCCTTCTTCTATACATTTACTTGAAGTCCCGCTTTCGCTACCTCGCCTCTTCTGTCAACTTGTTAGTTTTCACCTGTAGATCTTCAAGTTTCTGCGACATTAGACGCAAGTCAACGGCGAAATCCAAATCTCCTAGGCTCTTTTCACCGGTCAAACAGCGTATGCCCATCTTCTCGCTCCTCACAGTTTGCTGCATGATCCAGTCCATCACAATAAGGAAGATCATTGGTGATAGTAGGCAGCCTTGTATTACTCTTGTCTTAACTTCAAATGCGTCACGACAAAACACTAAGATGTAATTTGTCTACATTGTGCAATGTATTTACGCAAGACATTTCGAACAAAAGACATACTATACAGTTAGAGTAAGATTAATAGAAACCACCAAGCCTCTACATTCTCTGAAACTCATACAGCATGTGAATAATGTCACATTCCATCGCATTTACCAACTCAACTGTACGTGTGGTAAGAAAATTTACAGGAAGTAATTAGAAATTCATCTAATAAGGGCCTCGGAGCACATTTCAAAGTAGCTTGAAAAGCGAACGGAATCATCTGAACCTATAAACGTTGAAAGATGCCCAAGTTCTTCAATTATGAAACATATCGTAGAAGTAGGCCACAGGATTGATGTTCCCACGTCCTTTAGACCTATCTACAGAATGTGTTGGGAACAGATCATTAGATCTGTTGAAACCCCAGCTCTAAGGAGGTTTGAATCACTTTTGTGGGTTCAAAAGCAATTCATTATCATATAAAACCTCGTTCGATGAATTCAATTCTGAGACCATACTTGAAATACTATTAGCTTCTTGTAATTGATTTTCAGTGTTATTTCGGCCTTTAATTTAGCCTTCCTACTAGACCTCTTTTCATATTCTCACCCCTTATCGCTATGTGGACGACACTTTTGTCATCATTAAAAAGGATAATATAGAAAACACCCACAGTTTGATCAACAACGTTTTCAATGACATCAAATTCACAATGAAGGAAGAGTCAAACAATCAACTACCATTGCTGGATGTTTTAGTCAGTAGGACAAATGTCAGAAAGCTAGTAAACCAAGTCTATAGGAAGCCAATACTCACTCACCAAAATCCTCAACTACAATAGCAACAATCCAACAACACACAAAATCAGTTGCGTGCAGACTCTATTCAAAAGAGCAAGAACACACTGCAGTACAACAACTTCATGGAGAAACGAAGAAAATTACTTCATGTCCATCCTTAAGAAGAATGGCTACCCACAAAACCTTATCAGAAGATGCCTATCCCGTGCATCAACAACTACAAAGTCATCCACAGAAATCAACAAACGCATCGTCCTACCATACATAAAGAATATATCAGAAATCACGACAACATTGCTAAGACCACTTGGAATTAGTGTGGCGCCTCATAAACCAACAAATTACCTCCAAACACTATTATGCACACCAAAGGATGCAACAATCAAAGAAGACAAACCGAATATCATTTACGAAATCAACTGCAATAACTGCAGTCAACACTATATTGGACAAAGTGGTCACCCTCTTCACCTTCGTCTACATGAGCATCAATTGGCTACTAAACGTCACGAAATTTCATCATTCATTTCAATGCACGTGGATAATTATGGATATGAATTCAGTTTCGACAATGTAGAAATTTTGGAGGGAGAGAGGAAACACAAAGAATGTCAGAGAATTCCTAGAGGCTTGGCATTCAGGTCAAGCAGTCAGCAATCAATAGATGTATAGACATAGACCCAATCTATCAACCAATAAGAAAGATGATAAACAACAGAAAGGTGAGAGGTGAAGCAGAGGAACAGCCAGCCAACAGGAAATTCTATACAATCAATGACACAACAATCGAAGGGAACAACCAATCACAGACCACATCGTCAGAGGAAGCCACTAAATCACTGACGGAGAGATATTGACAGCTCACTTCATACTGAAGTTAATGTTGATGATGTCGTCTAGCGAGACAATGAAAGCTTCACGATTAAACAACCCAGCTCAGAGAACACAATACAACCAAGATCACCCCTTATCTCTTTAAATACCTATAACTAGGAAATGAGTGGATCATATTGTTCGGAATGAGTTGCGCAAACAGACTACACAATTCATACTAATTACATCTTTTTATTGGCTTTTCGTAAAGGGATTTCATTATAATTTGAATAAAACTGATCATTTAAGCAAGTTAGATCTCATCGAAGAACAATTAGTAGCACAGCAGAAATTTCAAAGAATCCAACTTGTATATGATTTATCTCGAATATGACATTTTGACTGTTTTAGGTACAAAAGAAAGTGAGAATCTAGACGACTGTGAAAGTAGTGGTTTATATCCGGAAAGAAGCTGGTTTACTGGTCAAGTGGATGTTAACAAGAAGTTGAATTCAGCTAATTACTGTTATAGCGATTTCTCTTAATTATGGTAACATTTAATGATATGATCCAGAAAAGACTAGATACGCATGCAATCATTCAGAATTGGTCAACGAATTGTAAAACAAAACAAAAAACAAACCAGGGTAAACTAAAAGAAGATAAAAAGGAACACGTTTATCCTGTACTTCGAATGATGATCAGAGCAATAATTTAAATGTATCTCTATAAGCTTTTACCGAATTGACTTCTAAGTGGACTATTTACAATTGATGAGCATGTATAGATTAATTTAGAAATTGAGTGTCTGTTGAGGAAATTTTTCAAATAGTCAAAAATGAGAATAATTAGAATTCGATTAATTCTAACCTGAAAAATAATGATATTTCGAAAGAAGTTTAGTTGCACACTTCAAATGAAGTACAAAGGCAGGATATTTGTAGGTCAACTAAAAGCAGAGGTTTTGAGAAAAACACCCTAAACACATATTGGTACAATTGATCACGTGCATAAACAGAACCGGACAGCCCAACTTACATGTAGGTGTTTATTACTCAAAGAGCTACTAAAAAAAAACAAGCTACTTTTCTGTAGATTAACCAATTACTGTGAATTACTTGGATTCAACGGGGATTGATAGTTTATAGAACTTACGAAACAGTACTTAGTATTGTTTGACCATCAAGCATACAAAACTGCACCAATTAAAACAAAAAGGTGGAAAGATTCAGTTAACTCATTGAGAATGTTAGTATGCTAACATCATACTTATTTCAACGTTTACTCAAAATTTCAAATTCAGTAACAGGAAATATTTACACCAATGTTTAAGGTCGTATTAATTAGGATAGAATGATATAAGGATTGTGAAGAAAATTTTATTTCTTCCCTAAAAATGGTTCAGATGACACTATTGCTGACAATTGGAATTACGTTTCTATGGCACCTTAGCAATTATGTGCATGTTTGTGTATCAGACAATGACCTACGCCAATTATATGAAAAGTGATAAGACTATCTGGAAGGCGTAGTGAGTTCAAACCCATGATCCAATAGCTGAAAGTCAACTGCCTAAACTAAACAGCTACAGCTTTAATAACAGCTGCTTGGAATGATAATGAGATATCGTATCCTTAATATCTGTGTACAAAATATGACGTAACATTTGTAACCTTGGTGTTCTTTTTACTTCTCAGAATGCAACTTCCTACATCAGTCATTTTTCAAGAACAAATTGTTATTTTGACTACAGTTCAATATCCCCCCCCCGCCCAATATGTAAATTAAATCAAATTATCATTTGCCTATACCCAACTGCATTAGGCTTAAGACCAAAGTGACTGAAATAACATGACGTTTGGGGTGGAGTACGGATGAAACTGCAGCATTTGTTCAACGCGTCTATTAAAACGATGACAGAAGCTCAACAAAACTACGAGTATAAATCGAGGAAAGTGAAAAACAATTGGGTATAAAGCAATAGTGTCTGGTATAAGTAATAAGAAACGAATTAAACTTACCAATGTAACTGTAACCGACTTTTAGCCACATCACCATTCTTACGTATCAAAGATCAATAGTTAGCGAAATTGAGTAACTACAGTTATGTCTTATAGTCACAGATCCATCAGTTAACAACTTATTACTTCAGAATAAGTGTGACAGCTCACTAAACATGATGAGTACCTTGAAAACGTTAGTTGATACAGGTTGACAATTGGTCCTACGATGAGCATAAATGAAACCATGTAGGAAAGAGACAGCGTAGAACCTGGCACATAGGTGCATCGAATCAAGTTTCTACACTTCACAGTAGTACACAAACAACAGGTAGGTAGAAAAAT